CTGCGCATTCTGCAGGGCCTAAAGTATGTGGCTACTGCGGCCTCAGCGACGACGCCATGGACGAGGTCGCCAACAGCCTGGAGACGATGCCCCGCCTTCGAAGCCTCAAGCTGGTACGTCCGGGCGGTCGTGGTGGCCGTCGGGAGGACGAAGCCGAGGGACTGACGGGAGGGTGGGTCAGCGGAGCAACCGCATCTCCGGAGAGGGAGCGCGGAAGCTGTTCGCGGGCTTCAAGCACACCCCCGACCTGCAGTACCTCGACCTGGTACAGTACGCGAGCACGAGGACCGAGCAAGGGTCTGCTGGGAGCGCAGCCTGAGGAGGCAGAGGCGGCGCTGGCTGACGAGGCGACGGCAGGACTGGAACAGCCTGGGCAACGAGGGAGCCTTCTACCTCCGCGGGGGCCTCGAGCTCGTGCCCGGCCTGAGGTCGCTCAAGATGCGCTGCAACGAGGTGGACGGGAAGGGAGCCGCCATCCTCTTCGCGGGGCTGCGGGAGATGCCGAGCCTGCGGGACCTGGACATGGTGAGAGGAGAGGAGGTGGGCGAGAGGGTCGGGCGGGGACTGAAGGGCCTCCGTGTGCGCGAGCAGAGAAACAACGACCTCGGGGAGGAGGGCGCGGCGTTCCTTGAGCACTGGCTAGAGCACAGCCGTCACTGCCAGATCCGCATGCTGGACCTGGTAAGCAGAGGGGCGGGCAGCTGGAGACGGCGAGGAGAGAGGAGGGGAGGGGGGATGGTAGAGGGTGTGTGAGAGGGCGTTGGAGGCCTGACGGTGACCATTGGCTGGTGACGGGGAGCAGGTGGGGAACGGGATCTCGGAAGAGTCGGGGAGGAGCCTTGCGAGGAAGCTTCAGCGAACATGCAGGGAGGCGTGGGCAGCGGGAGGGTCAGGTAGAGGAGGGGTGAAGGGGAGGAGGAGGGGAGAATCGAAGGAACTCAAAGACTTGTGATGAAGCGAGGAACTGACTTGCCGATTATGGTTAGACCGCGAGCTTACTGGCAGTTTGGCAGGAGCTGCTGGGGGAGAGGTGGGCTGCTGGCGTACTGCAGAGGAGTGCCGCAGCTTGCTGCTCGGGTCTTGCTTTCACTTCATGGTTTGCTGACTAGCCTAGTAGAGTCACTCAGCCTTGTGCAAGCACTGAGGGAGAAGTGCACGCTCTTGAATGTTTTCATCATAGAAACTGCGAAATCATCACTGTTGTCACGTAGTCGCCACTGCCATGATCGCCCTCTGAACTTAGCGTCCGGGGGCCTAAGGGCCGGGCCCGGCATACTAAAGGTCCGATCGGACCTCCCAAGGTTGGGAATCCCGGCTTTCAAAGACGGACTCCGGGATAACTGATAACCGCCGGCCCGGCCGCGACTCATGGCGGCCCGGTGACTTCGGCCCGGCCAGTCCGGCCGCCTCAGTCGGCCGGGCGGCCCGGCCGCGCCACCGTGTAGTACCGTACCGTACTGTCGGACGGTACTAGGCTGAAGTATCACGGTACGGTACGGTCCGGCCAGCCACTCGTCGCCACTCGGACGACTGAGCGGGGATGAGGGACTCAGCCGTTGGACATGGCAGGGGAGACGCGAGGATGGAGAGGGGGAGAGGGGAGGAAATGATTGGAGGACATGAAGAAAGAGGAGAACTGAGAAGAGGAGAAGATATGCTGATAATGTTGTTCTTGATGGAACAGAGTTGGTGAGTTAAACTAGCGGGAGCAGGTAGAGGTTTTGCTGTGATCACTGGTTTCAGGAGAACTTAGGTGAGGGGTCGCTTGAAGGATGTATGTAGGGCCGATGAGAAGAGCAGGAAAGGTAAGGAAATAGGAAATAGGTGTGTTTGTTTGAAAACTATGGGATTGAATGATGAGATATAGCAGTAGAAAGGCCGGCTCGTGCAAAGGAATGTGTGTTAACATGTCCCGTTGCTGATGTACCTGTACAGCCAAAGCGATATCTTCAAAGCGGAATGGTTCTCGACAACGATCCGATATACTGTGCTGAACAGATCAATATTCCTGAGAAGTAATAGTATTGCACTGTGAGCCTTACTCTCATGTTTTGACTTTTTCTGGTCGAGCAGTCTCGGCGAAATCTTGAAAGCTTACGCGAAAGAGGTTATCCGCTCAAACCCTAGCAACATCTACGAGTTTTCAGCCAAGTACTTTGCTCAGCTCGATCAAAATGCAGAGGAGGAGGAAATAATGGGAGAAGAAGTCAGCAAGGACGCGATCTACCGGTTGGTCCTTGCTTGCAAGGATGACGGCAGTCCCGAGGAGGAAAGAGATATCAACGCGTTGATAGAAATGGCAGAGCAGAGCGACATTCCAAGGGCTGCCATATCGCAGGCTCTGGATTTGGTCTCGCAGGAGGGGAGCAACAGAGTAAGCTGGAAGCATCTTGTGGTCACCCTGTGCTCGCAAGTGGGCGGTGTAGAAGACGTCACTCAGTTCGTGGGTTTGTTGATGGACCCAGGGATGTTCGGGGACGATGACGGAAAGATTCAAATCTCCGAGTTCATCACCCTGTTTGACTGGTGGTCGACAATAGACGAGAGGTGCTCCTTGTCCCGCATGTTGACCGCGGTTGTCTGATCAGTTTTCCTCACAGCATCTCTGCCGAGCTCAAGTCGGCCTTGTTCGCTGCTCTTGACAATGGTGATGTGACCGTCTGTGTGATCCGTTGCTGATTGAGGAGTGCAGGAGAACCGACGATGGACTTTGCAAAGTTCAAAGATGCTTACAAATCCATTCAGTGAGCATGAATTTTCTTGGTACCATAGATTGAGGGGCAGGTCTCGGCTAGACAGATTTACTAATGAAACAGAATCATGAAGACAAACAAATCAAACATACTAGTCCCAACTTTCACTGACCAGCGCAACGCACTTCGGTGATGAGCTGAGATTCTTCTGCGGAATTGAGTCAGGAATCCAACTTGACCACTCTCCCAACCACTCTTGCAGCATGCTCTCACCTCAAGAACATCTCGGTCCAGGCTGGTAAACCTTGGAATGCACAGCCTGTCTTGTTGCAACAAGATCTGCTGCACGCACACCTTGATCTCCTCCATGGAATATCCAGTCCGTGACGCTAACTGACGCGGCCAGACCTCATCGACCCCGACCATGCTGCGCGCTGCAGCCAACCCAGCAGAGGCCACCAGTGCCTGGTCGTGCTGCACAAAGGAATAATCTGGCAGAAAGTCAGCCGACGAAGAGACGACGGGCATGCAGCCTTCTCACCTGGAAGACAGACGCCAGTGGCGATCCTCTCCATGAGACTAGTGATCCTGATTATGTTCTCCGGGCTCAATGGCCTTCCATGTCTAGTATCGCAATGATGCGATACACCATGATGCATGAAGCAGTGGGAAAAATGAAGGTGTGTGGCGCAAGAAGCGTTCCAGTTCAGCTTTTGGAGGAGGAGTTTCTCTGCTGCTAGCAGCTGATCCTTGCTTCCTATTCCCGTTATCATCTCCATCACTTGGTCGACTCTTGGGACCTTCGACGGATGCTCTTCAAACTTGGCTGCGACAAGTCGTCATGTGCTCGCCTCCAAACACAAGGTAAAGGTTACCAGCAACCAGCACGCAGGCAGATGCCGCGAGCCTGTGGAGAGAGGTGGGAAAATCGTCTGATCCCATGAGGCGATCAAGATAGTTTACAGCTCGGTGGAGAGTCAAGGATTTCAGCGCTAGACTTCGACAGACTCCAGACATGTAGTGGATTGTGTTATACCTATAGTTTACAAACTTGTTGTGCGGATCAAATTCCGGATTAAGTCTTTGTATCTTCTTGAGGTAATCAAGGTCCTTGTTCAAGAAAACAATGTCAAGATAAGCATCTTCTTCATTCCTGTCCGTAGAAGCATCCGAACTTGTGTCGTCAATGTCAGTTTGCCTCTGACGTTTGTAGTTCAGATGATCAAACACTGAGTCATCCATTGATCTTTTCAATGGAGAGACACAGCATCCTTCGTTCACTGGCTCGTCGGCGACTAGAGATAAGCTGGGCATGTTGTCCACATCCATCATGAAAAGTATTGCCTGAGAATCACCATAAGAACATGCTCTGATATCAAACAAACGTGCAACATCCAACTTGTTTCGAACCATGGCATAAAGTGATATTCAACCATTATTCATTTAATAGGTCTGATGTATCTATTCACGAAAATTTCACAACAAAACCTAGCCATACCGTCCACAACCATTTCTGTTATCATTTCATACGGCTGAACAAAGTAATGAAGAATGAACTGAGAGCTTACAGAACTTTCGATTTTCAACTTTCTGAGGGGTACATGTGCTCCTACCGTAAACCATCCTATCCTCCTTATCCTCCTATCATCCCTGTCCTCCATGAATCCCCTGTCCTACTGGCCTTCTCGGCCCTCCAACCATCGTGCTCTGCCTTCTCCGCCTCCCTCCGTCCCTACGTTCCTCTCACATATGTAGATCCCATCGCGCGGGAAATTGCCCTTCGATTGGGGGTGGGTAGGCCTTGCTCCATTAAGATTAGGTGGGGTACTATATCACACCCGGTACTATCCCATACAATAATAGGTCAAGGGTGGGTATATTAAGAAGGAAGTGGGGTGGTAGATGTACATTTCCTTCACACCAGGGGTAGGTAGGTTAGGTAGGGGAAAGGAGGCGGGAAGTAGCATCAGCACATTTTTGGTGATCCGACTACCCGTACTTGACCCTCACAATCATGGGAATATACAGGGGTACAACAGTACCCCACCCCGGCTACAAAGACTTTTGTTTGGAGGGGTGTGTGACCGGTATTTAAATATATTTTAGTGTTAGTCACTATAATCTTTTCAGTCTGTATAACTTTCAATATTGTATACAGATTTATTAGTCACTATATTAATTACATAGCAAAAAGAGTATTGAGGTGCTACCCCTAGAATTAAACTTATAAAAGCCTCGCGGCCGGGTACAAACTTTCGCGGCCGGGCGCTCCGACTCGGATGTGACCGTTGCCCGGTAGGCTTGACGGACTCGGAGCGGCCGCCGCGCCGCCGGGCCGGGCACCCGGCGGCCGGGCAGCGGGGCCAACTTCTTGGCTTTGGCCCCACGGTGCCCCGGCCTCACAGGCCTCGCCGGACCGTCTGCGAGTCTTTGACCGTACGGTCCGCGGCCCGGCCCGGTCGCCGGATCTGTACACACAATATGATTTGGATCATGCCAGGGCTTGACTCTGTGACTCGGAGGGCTCCGTCACTGGCATCATGCCCGGCCCTGAGTGACTCCGCCGGGCCGCCGCCGAGCCTAGGTTATGAATCGAGTCCGCCTCAGTACTGGAGTATGAGAGGGGGGGAGGCAGTTGAGAAGGATGGGCCTGGTGGTCGAGGAGCCATGGCAGCGCTGCCTGACCCTTCGAAGAAAATGCAGAGCAGGAGACTAGGAGAGGAGGGGAGGGGAGAAGGGAGTGGGGGAGCGAGGGAGGTAGAGAGGAGAGGAGAGAGTGGGGAGGAGGAGAGGTAGCGAGGAGAGGGGAAGGGGGGATAGCAGGGAGGGTAGGGGGAGGGAGAGTGAAGCGCTCCTCACATTTGGAATAAGAAAGAGGTATGGCAGGGCTGCGCGTCTATGGAGTGAGCAGGGAGGGGAGAGGGCTGAAGGAGATTCGGTGATGGAGATGGTATGGGGATGCTGAGGAAGGTTAAGAACGGAAGGCACCAAGAAGTACGAGAGGAGCGTTAGATGTGCAGACATGCGCAGTTAGGATGGTAACGTGAACCTTTCAGGCTCTGCTCTCCCCTTCTACAACTCTCAGCTCGCCTCACCTGCGCTGTCCCTGGCAACCGTTCCCGTCATGTCGGCGGGAGGTGGAGTGGAGTGCTCCTCCCAGTACCTCCCGCACTCTCATCGTGATAGAAGATGGAAAATTCTCTCCCCTGCTGCTCTCATGCTCGTCGTCATCGCGTGTGGGGCGCTGGATGGATCTGCTCGGGCGGTGAGGAATTTTGTTGATGCTCCAACCCTCCCAACACCTCCTCTCCCTCCTCCTCCTCCTCGACTTCTCCTCCGCTCCCTCCCCTTCGCTCTCCCCTCGCCCTTTTTCCCCTTGCCCTCCTTATCCATCACCCCGTCCCACTCGCTCTCTTTCTTTCCTTCCTCTTCACTTCGGCTTCGTTTTGCGCGCTCACCATGGTGTGTCAGCTTCTTGGCTTCCAGACTGTGGAAGGAGAGGAACTATCGTCCGTAAGCTTTCACTCGCGGAAGGAGGTACAGCAGCCCCTCAGACGAGCTCTGCTCAGCTGGAGCGAGGAGGATGAGGACGAGGATGGGGGTCAGAGGACGCAAAGTCTGCTGCAGAGTGACTTCGGCGAGCCGTGCAAGCATCACTTCAACTGCAAGAGCTACCTAATCTGCCGCAGCGGCACCTGCTCGGCCTGCGAGGCCACCCACGAGTGCCAAGTGAGGAACTCTGCACGGCAGTGCTTTCAGAACAGCTCCTCCTCGCACTTCGGGTGGACTGAGAGCCCTTACCCCTTCGCTGTCTGCAAGCACAAGCCCCTCTTCTTCCCCTTCACCACGGAGGATGCCTGGATCACTGTCATTACCTTCGTCACCATCGCTCTCGCTGCCCCGACAGGGACAGGAGGAGGAGGCATCTTGGTTCCAATGTACATGATCATCGGCCATTTCTCTCCTCACTCTGCTATCCCGCTCTCCAAGGCCACTATCCTCGGCGGCGCGATCGCCAACAACCTCATCAACATCCAACGTCGCCATCCCTTTGCCAATCGCCCGCTCGTCGATTACGACTCCCTGCAGATCCTCGTGCCCAGCCTTCTCATAGGCACCATCCTCGGCGTGTTCCTCAACGCCGTCTCTCCTGCATGGCTCGTCACGCTGGGGCTCGTCGTCTCCCTCGGCTACAGTTTCGCCATCGCAGCGAAGAAAGCCTGGGCGATTTACGTGGAGGAGGTGTTGAAGTCGTTGCCGGAGAGGGAGCCTCTGCTCGGCGAGAGGAAGGAGCAGCCAGCACAGCACTACAGGTATCGATCATAAGGCATGGGAGGAGGAGGAGGACGAGGAGGTTTAGGGCAATAAGGAATTGGAGGGTGAGCAAGAAAACGAGGATGAAGAGGAAGAGAAAGAGGACGAGGAGGAGGGCGAGGAAGGCGAGGAGAGGGTCTGACAAGTTGTGTCAAGCTTCGACGAGGACAAGCTGGAGCCGCAGCTGCGGGAGATCATCAAGGTTCACCTGCCTCTGCTACATCTCTGCTGGGGTTGAGCTGGGCGTGCAGGCTGAGTCGAGGCATGACTTCAAGGCCATCGGGATGATCGTCATCTCTTGGATTCTGGTCTGCCATCCTCCCCCCTTTTGCCTTCAGCTGTCTTCCTTCTCCTCCCCTCTTTCACTCCTTAGCACACTCGCTGTATCGACTCCCTTGCTCCTCCCTTCATCCTCCTCTCCTCCTCCTCCCGCCCTGCTTCCTCCCTCCTCCTCTCCCCTCTCCCCTCCCTCGACCTGCACTCCACGAGTCCTTCCCCTCATCCTCTCCTCCTCCTCTCCCGCATGCTCACAGTACAAACAGGTCGCCGTGTGCTCTCTGATCAAGGGGGGAAGTGGTCCCAACCAGTTTGTGGTCTCTTCTCTAGCTCTGCCCGTGCTGTCGCTGATTTCCCCGGCAGGCCTGCGGCAGCTGGTCCTTCTGGATGGTCGCGCTGCTGCCGTTTCCCATCGTCATGATCCTGTCATGGCGAGTCGGTGAGACTGAGAGCGAGCTGGGATGAGAGCAGGAGGCTTAGGGAATGAGGGAGCGGGAGGGGGGAGGGGGGGGAGGGGAGGGGAGGAGTACAGACGAGAGGGGAGTGAGGATAGGATGAGTGGGAGAGGTGGGGGAAGGGAAGGGATGTCAGATGTGACGGACCAGAAGGGAGAGAGGAGGATGGAGAAAAGAGGGAAAGGGAGGGCGGTGGGTGAAATGGTTGGGTCGGACAGGCTGATGTGTTCGGGTGCAGGAACGTCGCTGAACGAGAAGTTCGAGTCGAAGAAAGCCTGTGGGTATCGATTTGCTGGTGAGGATTGAAACTACTCCTTGGTTCCGTCTGTCTCGGCCTTCCTCTGCCTGCTCTGATCTATTCCCATGTCCCTCCCTTCCCCCTCCTTCTTCCCTTCCCCCCCTCCCTCTCGCTCTTTCTCCTCTCCTCTCCTCCTCTGCCCTTCTCACTGATGCCGCGCATGCAGAAGGAGATGCGGTGTGGGACGTTCAGCACGTTCGCATCTTCCCCTTCGTCAGCATCATCGTTGGCATCCTCGCGGGAGCGCTGGGTATCGCTGCTGGGACGCTGCTGGGGCCGCTGCTGCTGCAGGCAAGCATAGGGAGCGCGCGCTGCTGCCCCAGCTGACATGCTGGACTCCAGGTGGGGTTGAACCCTGTGGTGAGCGTGGCGACGACGGGGCTCATGGTTCTCTTCACGTCCTCCTCGACCACCATGCAGTATCTCTTCCTCGGTCGGCTCAAGCTCGACTACGCCATCTTCTTCACCCTCGTCGGACGGTGGCAGCGAGCATCGGCAACACAGCCATCCACCATGTCTCCCGCAAGTACCGCAAGACCTGGTTCGTCGTCGCCATCCTCGCCATCACCATCGGACTCTCCGCCGTCCTCCTCGGCTACGTCGGGTACTACAGGGCGATCAGGTCGTGGCTGGAGGGAGAGGACATGGGCTTCCGCGACATCTGGTGAGTTTGCGAGGGTGATGGGGGAGGAGGACTGAGAGGAGGAGGACTGAGAGGAGGAGGACTGAGAGGAGGAGAAGGAGGAGGAGGAGGAGGGTGACTTTGATCTTGGAAACAGCCACTCGAGGGAGGACATGCTCAATCCTCGTGCCGCCCGCCCTTCCCAGCACTCTCAGGTGGACCTACACGTCCTCAGCCTCTCTCATCCTCTGCCTCACCTCCTGAACTTCCTCGTACTCTGTGATCCTCCTCTGCTGTGACTCACGATGATCCTTCCAGGGGTTCCGATAGAAGGGAGGAGGAGGAGGAGGAGGAGGAGTCAACTTTCTCCGTACTGCAGCGCACCTGCTGCTTTCTGTGCATTAAATCAACATCCTTCTGTCTGTACCCGCGAGAGGCTGAGAGGAGGGACGATGCTCGGCCGGTGAGCAGGCTGGGAGATGTAGATGTGCGAGGCAACTCCAACACAGCGCCGGGGGGCAGCACGAGGGTGAGAAGGAAGCGACCTGCTGTTGTCCTTCGGCTTCTCGACCAGAGGGCAAGAGGCGATGGCCACTGGGTTGACACGCGCTCCTACGTCGGGGATGACAGCCTTCGGCTGCTGCTGCTGCTGCTGCTGTGCAATCCTGCTCTTCTCCAGAACAGAATCGTGCTGCTGACTGGGATTTCTGTTCTCCAGATACATGCCCTCTCCTGCTCCTCCTGCTCCTCCTGCTCCTCCTGCTCCTCCTCCTGAAGGCGGAGGTGGAGCAAGGGAACGATCGGGGGACGCGAAGGATTCGGTTTCAGCTTCTCCCTCTCCACCATCTGCGACCGCCTTATCGCCTTCCCCTTGCCACACTCCTTAGTCTCCTCCTTGCCCAGCTCCAGCCCAGCTCCCTCTAGATCGCCTCTTGTACCCTGCTTCTCCACCATCCCTCGATCAGCTGCACACTGCAGCTGTATCGATAACCCTTGATGCAACCCTGCTCCTGCATTTGTCGCCCCTCCTCCCTCTCCTCCTCCTTCCCACTTCCTTCCTCCCTCCCGATTCCCCTCCCGTATCCCCCACAACTTCCCTACCTTCCCCTGCCTCTCCCCGTCCCCCTCCGTCTCCCTCGCTCTCCTTCTCTCCTCCGACAGAACCGTCGCATGCTCGAAGAGCTGTTGACCCTCCTCCTTGCTCCGGCTGCCATGGATGATATAGTACAAGACTGACTCGCTGATGATCCCTTTCTCGTCATAGAGTTCCCCCTTCAGCGCTGCCGTCCCGTCACCACCAAGAGCAGTCACAGCCCACCACAAGCCTCCTGTCTCACCGTCACGCCCCTGCCCGCCGCCGGAAGGAGAGGCGAAGGAGGTCGGAGGGTTGGATATTCTTCGCATGATCTGCAAGGTGGAGATGGGAAAGATCTTCTCGAACATCATCGACAGGCCCTGGTGAGGGGAAGAGCCTTTGAGCGGTGGCGAGGAGACTTCACTCGGGGAGCTTGATCCCTCGGGCGAGAAGAAGCCGATGTCTGCCAGCACGGTGAAGTTGGAGTTCCTGATGCACTCCATGCTTGCAAACTGGCATGGAGCACTTTGATCCACATCGACCAGCGCTTGGGGCACGTAGTTGTCGAACGCATCCTCCGAGGCCGTCGAGCTCGAGCACCAGGACATGGCGTCGTCCGACGGGAGTCTCACCACGTCCCAGAGCATGATGCTCAGGTATCACAAGGACCTAGGGAAAAGCCACGGTCATGCAGATTCAGTGAAGCTGAGTACACAACAACCGATACAGATAGAAGGAGGAGGGGGGGAGGGGGGAGACGGGGGGGGAGAACCAGTTCATGTATTCATTCAAAGGATCCTCAGGTTCGCAATGGAGATGAAGTGGTCGAGTGCCAGAGGAAACAAACGTGAACCGTGATAGGAGCCGTGAGCCTCTATCTAGAGCGGTCAGAGCATTGAAACCGGAAGTGCTGATAAGAGTTCTGAGGAAAACTCCGAATGGGAGCGAGCGGGGTGCAGCTGCGGCAGCAGCGGCTGT